AGTGCAAGAACTGTTATCTCACTTGAGATTTTACATACTCTGCCTTTCAGCTTCCACTGGAGATCTGACAGAGGATGAGGACAGCTGGCAGGGCAGGCAAGTCAGCAAAGTAACTTCATAATCAGAGAACTCAGTTGTTAGTGAGGTGAGTGAGGCCCAACGTGGTTGTATGTATTAGGCTAAGAGTCAACGATTCTCCTTAAGTTCTTTGGGTGAACAAACTAGAAGACCAGAATCGAACGGGGAGCAAGTCAGAGACCATTTCATGGGTTTGGGTGAGAAGTACTGTGGGGAGGAGCTGGAGAGAATGGGGACTCAGGCTTCATGTCAGGAATGGCATCGATAGCCATTGTAACAGTTTGGACATGGAGCGGGAACGAGAGAGGGGAATGCAACAGGATTTCTGGTTTGAGTGTCTGAGCAGGTAGTTGCTACTGACTTAGGTGAAAACTTGGAAGAAGCTGGGGTCAGCTCATGTGTTATAAATGGCCTCCAGTGGTACAATGACGAGACTTTGTCTACACTGCTGGGTGAGAGCTTAGGAAGTGGCACTCTGGCTTCACTCACAGGGGAAGATGGTCAGGTATGGGTGACAGGAGAGACAGGACCAGGGAGATAGATACTTGAAGGGAGTTAGCATCACGTTGGACTGGGGACTCTCTAATAAACCTAGACAGGTAAATGAAGTGGGCTGGGAAGTTGGTTAGTAACAAGATGGCGGCATGGGGGGGTGCGGGGACCAGAGATTAGGGGACCAGAGAAAGTGATCTGGAAGAATAGGAACACCATGTCTGGTTCTACTCACTACCCTCAGCCCTTGGCACATAATAAAAGCTTATTGTTTGTGATTCAACTGAAGTTAATTGCTTAGCTGTAAGTGGGTCTTGGGTTATGTTTCTTATCTCTGTCTTTGTTGTTGTTGTTTTGGTTCAACCTTTTTTTTTTTGCTGGTACTAGGATTTGAACTCAGCACCTTGTATTCCTGCTTGAATTATTTCATTTAAGGTTGATGCTGTATCCCTTGGACCACATCTCCACTTCTGGCTTTTTGCTAATTAAATGCAGATAAGAGTCTCTGCTCATTCTGGCTCTAAACTGCAATCCCTAGATCTCCGTATCCCGTGTATCTATGATTATTGGCATGAGCCACCAGAGCATGGCTTGAACAGTATTTTTTAATGAGTCCATTTAGCTTCTTTATTCAATTTATTCTTCTTGGGGGTCAGCATGTAAGGAAATGTCTACTGCTAGTCTCTGGTGCAGGATGGACAGTATTGCTGTGGACAGTCTTGATGTCACTGTAGGCTTGTGGGAAGTTGGACAGACTGTGGACTGATCTTGGAAATTCTGTCCATCCACACATCCATCCATCCATCCATCCATCCATCTCTCCATCCATCCAACAAGCTCTTTTTGAATGCCTACTATGTGCCTAGCTTCAGGTTCTTGATATAACACAATACATGGACAAGTGAATTACTGAAAAGTTTTGTTCATTAGGGAGCTACAAATAGCACCTGAGTCTCTGGATGTGAACTTTTTGGCTGTCTGCCCTTTATATATAGTTATATTGAGACGAAAAGAGGGAGAGCCTTTATTCTTTTGCCTGCTGCGTTGTTTTAAATTTTTATCAAAATGTACAATGCTCAGAAGCAGGCCAGGCAGAAAGAACTCTTTCTATGGTGTCTAAAAATGTACAGACCCATCTCTCTAGGAGCTGTTGAGGGTCAGCAGGCATGCCCATAAAGGTGGGGTGGGGCAGATTCTCACCCATTCCCCCTCCTTTTTTTAAGGTCATTTCAGGTTATTTATCATTATTATTGTTATGTTAGGTTGGTTTTATCTACCACTAACCCTTCTTCAGAATTTGAATGCTCTTTCATAAGAGGCAGGTAATTTTAGTTGATCGAATCCGTCATTGATTTTTGTTTTACCTAACTATCCACCATCCCAGGCAATTCATGATAGAAGGAATCTCTCCTTCAGGTAAGGCAACCACAGGCTCATAGGCCCTTTCTCCTCAGGACTTTCCACTGTTGCATTCATCTGGTTGAAGGTGGAAGGTCTCAGTATGCACTGAACACTGGAACATGTGGTGTATGACAGATGCCCAGCAGAATCTGAACTCAGATTGTTTTTTGTGTGTCTATATGTGTGAACTTTTGCTATATAGCCAGCGCTGACCAAAGATCCACCCCTGATCCTTCTCCTTCAGCTTTCCTAGTGCTGGGATTACAGGTATGTGCCACCATATTTAGCTTGACTCTTGGATTCTTATGAAACCCATTAGTGTGGGGTAAGATGGGGTGTTTATAAACACCGAACTTCCTACTTTGTTGATACTCAATGGAGATGTTTATTGATGGAATGCACATGTGAATATGAGGGAAAGACAACTTTAAGAGCCCCCTATGTCACCTCATTTAATTTCCCTATGAAGAAAAAAATGGTCATCTCTACTCACTCTTCATAAAACAAACTTCTGTGATTTGCTATGTGTGGGTCTTCCCACACATGACACAATTCTCCTGCACAGTCCAGCCTTGCAGCCTGTAATTCAGTTCAGTCCTGATACTATTTACCTGGAGATAGCAGTGCGGTAGATCCAGAGTTAAAGTCTCCATCTTATCAGGTTGCCTCCACTTCCAATTCCAGTTCTAAGCAATAGGCCTGGCCTCTACTTCTGACCAGCTAACATGAAATTGAAGTTCTCATTACCCTTCCTTGGGCTTGACCAATTTGCAAGTTGGGTTTACAGAACTCAGGGAAACAATGTATAGACATTAATTTGTGGCAAAGGATCTAACTAAGGCTGTGGATGAACAGCCAGGTGAAGACAGGACACAGGGAAGGAGTCTTCTGTTGGAAACTACCCTCCAAGGGTCTTTTAGTCACTCCAGGCCATCTCCTGGGCATAAAGTCTGGCGTAGTAAAAACAGACTCAAAAGACATTCCAGATACTCAAGACATTCCTAGGGTTTTAGGAGCCCTGTGAAAAGAAGACTATTTCCTATGTTTGCTTTTGTCAAAGTTTTAGCTTTTTTATTTACTTCTTTGTGGTTACAGTTTTTGTTCTGCTTTCTCATTTTAGTGTTCCCATTGTGACCTTTTCCTTTCTGATCAACTAACTTTACTATTGGTGGTTTTGAGCTCATTGCCTTTTGAAGGAGGCTGACTCATGACAGTACTGTCATGTAATATCATAAAGTTAATGTAGGTAGCATGATGATATAATAAGAATGGATTATTCTAAGGAAAAATATGTTATTCTATAGAATGATATTCTATAATGAAGTAAGTATGAATGTATAACAATATAACATAAAACTTTGTATCATCTCCAAGTTCCTTTGTAAAGGATTTTTCCCTGCAATAACTCTTATCCATGCCTTTCCCATGTCATCTAATTATCTCTCCTGAAGACCCTACATTATGTGATATATGTGTGTGTGTGTGTGTGTGTGTGTGTGTGTGTGTGTGTGTGTGTGTGTGTGTGCCAGTCCTGGATCTTGAACTCAGGGCCTTGTGCTGTCCCTTGGTATTTGTGCTTAAGGCTAGTGCTCTAGCCTGTTAACCCAGAGCTCCACTTCTCAATTTTTGGTAGTTAATTGGAGAAAAGAAGCTCATGAACTTTCCTGTTTGGGTTGGCTTTGAACCAAGATCCTCAGATATCAGCCTCTTGAATAGCTAGCATTACAGGCCACCAACAACTAAGTCCACACTTTTTTTTTGGCCAGTCCTAGGGCTTCAACTCTGGGCCTGGACACTGTCCCTGAGCTTCTTTTGCTCAAGGCTAGCACTCTACCACTTGAGCCACAGCACCACTTCTGGCTTTTTCTGTTTATTGGTGCTGAGGAATGGAACCCAGGGCTTTATGCAGGCTAGGCAAGCACTCTACCACTGAGCTACCTTCCCAGTTCCAGTCCCTATATTTTCATCTGACTTTCTATCAGCCTCTTCTTGCCCGGCCTATAGTTAACCACCCCCATTTTTCATAAAGCCTGAGAAAATGCTGGAGAAAGAGACTGTTGGTATATGTTATCTATTCTCATGTTATTCCTTTACCTTGAACCCTTTCTTCCAAAGTAGACTTCATATACTTGGGAAGATTGCATAAGAAAGCAGGCTGTGTACCCCATTCTTTCCTAGACCACATACCCGATTCCATGTATGGAAGTACCCTCTTCTTTCCCTGTGCACTAAGCAAAGGTGTAGAAGTTCCTCTGAGCAGAAGTCTGCCCTGAGCCAAATTTACAACATAAACTTTTTTATTTGTTGGTCGTGGGGCTTGAACTCTGGGCCTGGGCGCTGTCTCTCAGCTTTTCAGCTCAAGGTAGCACTCTACCACTTGAGCCACAGTGCCACTTCCGGTTTCTGAGTGGTTTATTGGAGATAAAGAGTCTCATGGACTTTCCTTCCCGGGCTGGCTTTGAACCATTTGATCCTCAGATCTCAGCCTCCTGAGTAGCTAGGATTACAGGCCTGCGCCAACATCAATTTTGAGCATGCAGATGGGCTTGGCACTGTTGGGTAGTGACTGGGAAGGGAGCAAGAGTGGACTAGCCAATCACCCTTCCCAGTCTCCTAATGTCTCTGGCATAAGATGTCATCTGCAGGATTGGGAGAAACTCCTCCCACCTATCAGACAGGTGAAAGGTCAAGTACAACTGGAATCTTTATAAACTAGAACTGTGTCTCTTAAGTCTTAACATTGACCAAGCTCCCTCTGGAGAGCGGGCCCCACCCTTGTATGACTTACATTTGATTTGATTTTCTTACCTCTTAACTTGCCTATCCCCGGGGAAGCATGATAAATAAGTATTTATCAGCTCTGTTGGCACCGTTGTATTATTTACAATGCACTGTTAGAATTGTGCATGTTTGGAGAAGCTGTTGTGCTCACCACAACTCCATGCTAGGAAGATCTGACTAGAGGTCCTTAAATCGTGTTTCTTAAATATTTACTTTGGCCCTCTGTGTTTTCTTTTCTTTTCTCCCAGTTCCTATTCATGTGAACGCTTCACTTCCTCCCAAACCAGTCAAATGGCTTCGTCTAATGGAACCCAGCAGTTTGCCAAGCTTTGCCTTGTAGAAGAGGCCCTTCGTGGTCCACACCTGGTGGGAACGTGAGTGCAGTCATAGCCTTCGGTGTGGTCAGGCTGGAAGGAACATTCCTAAGGTGGGAAGTGCCAAGGAAACTGTGGTCGATGGGCATTGTTTGTTATGTTTCCGTTTTCCAGGCAGGGTCTTGCTATGTAGCTTAGGCTGACCTCTAATTAGAGCTCCTTTTGTATTTGCCTCCTGCATGCTGGAATTACAAATGTGTGCTCACCACAGGTGGACTTTCTTTTTCTTTTCTTTTCTTTCTTTCTTTCTTTTTTTTTTAAACTGGGATTTGAACTCAGGGTCTCATGCTCTTACAGACTGCTTGCTCATGAGTGGTGTTCTACCATTTTAGTCATGCCTCCAGTCCAGCATTTTACGGATTCTTTTGGAAACGAAGTCTTGCAAACTTCCCTCTCTAAGTTGGCTGTGAACTTGGATTTCAGCCTCCTGATGAGTTAGGATAACAGGCATGTGACACTGTGGCCCGATTTTGGATGGGCATTCTGGAAGGAGAGGGCATATGTCTAACTAGAGTTAGAATGGAGTTAGCTTAGTCCTTCAGTAACATGTATTAGCTTCTGAGACACAGAGTAAGAGTTCTTAGTACTATTATTATCAATAATCAAATCTACTCAGTGCTCATGGCCAGTCTCCAAGGACAGGAATCACTGTGTGTAATTTACAAAGGTAAGGATATGACCAAGATTCAAGTTCTAAAGTTAAAGTAGACTTTGAAACTCTTTTCATTTTGTGAATGACTGGTTTAATTCAGAATAAGTGACAACATATTTCTGTTGCCTTCACCACATCACTTCTTTTATTGTTACTGTAAAGGTGGTGTGTAGAGGGGTTACTGTTTTATAGGTCAGGAAATGAGTACATTTCTTTTTGGACAATGTTATCTTTTCTTTCACTCTGTTTTTCCCCTCTCCATTTCTTTGAATGGACTTTTAAGTTCTTCTTCTTCCTCCTCCCCCTTTTGCTTTTTTTCCTCCTCCTCTCCTTCTGCTTCCTTATTGTTGTTATTATTATTATTATTATTTGTGCTTGAACTCAGGACTTGAGCTCTTGCTTAGCTTTGTTACTCAAGGATGTGGTCACTCTACCATTGGAGCCACACCTCTACTTCCAGTTTTATTTTGTTGGTTAATTGGAGGTAAGAATCCAGATATTAGAGTCCCAAGTTGTTAGGACTACTGCATTAATCACTGGTATCTGGCTTTTTATTATTATTTTGTGGTACTGATGATCAAACCTAGCCAAATAATAAAGCATAGGTCACTCTATGTATGTGTGTGTGTGTGTGTGTGTGTGTGTGTGTGAGAGAGAGAGAGAGGGAGAGAGAGAGAGAGAGAGAGAAGAGAGAGAGAGAGAGAGAGAGAGAGAGAGAGAGAGAGAGAGAGAGAGAGTGTCTCACTGTGTATTCTGGAACTCATGATCCTCTCACTCACTTCTTCCTCTGAACGTTGGGATTATAAATATATTCCATCATGCCCAGCTCCCACACAAGTCTCCCTCTCTCTCTCTCTCTCTATATCTATATCTATATATGTATACATAGATATAGATATATTTTTTTTTTGGCTGGGCCTGTGTCTTGAACTCAGGACCTGGGCACTACCCCTGAGCTTCTTGTGCTCAAGGCTAGTGCTCTACCACTTGAGCCACAGCACCACTTCCATTTTTTTGTTTTTGTTTTGTTTTTTTGAGTAGCTTATTGCAGATAAGAGTCTCACAGACTTTCCTGCCTAGGCTAGCTTTGAACAGCAATCTCAGATCTCAGCCTCCTGAGCAGCTAGGATGACAGGTGTGAGCCACAGGTGCCTGGTTACAAGTCACTTCTTAACTATGCATTTTAGCAATCAATTAGCAAATGTCTGTGCTTTATACTTCAACACCAAAGAGAATCCATGGAAAGCCACACACAGACACTTTCAAATGCTTGTTTTAGCCGGTTGTTTATTTCCTAATCCTCGTGTTGACAATGTGGCAATGCCAGTGAACTTAAACTCTCTCTCTCTCTGCTCTCTCCTCACTCAGCACGGAGCAAGTGGGCCAAAGGTGAACCCCCAGAAGGCCACTGTAGGAAAGAAACAATTGGGGTGATTCATACCTTAGAATATTGAACAGTATGTGAGCGTTGAGCAGTTATAGATGGTTATAACTGAGATTTCTCCTCCTTGTTCCTCTCTTCTTGTTCTGTTTAAGGTCCCATGCCTATGTCATGGTAGTTATGGCTGATTCAGGTAGGCAGCTAAACTGTGTATCGCTCTGGAGAATGTACAGAGGGGACTTAGCAAGCACTGTCTGAGGTGGCATTAGGATCGTAGTTCACTGGGACACTGGGAATCCAAGTGGCCAGGCTTTATCCTCACTGATGCCAACTTCAGAACTGCGTTAACTGCCACAGGGTCTAGTGACAAGAGGGAACATGCTCCATATTTTCCTCTCTTCTCATTTGGACACTGTCACCTGCCCGGGAGGAGAATTCTTATGGGTGGTGTTGAACTCAGGGCCTAGGGCTTGCTCTGTTTGCTTGGCTGCACTTCTACCATTTAAGCCACACATACCTCCAGCCCTGTTTTTGTTTTTGCTGGTTCATTTGAAGATGAGATTTCACCGATTTTTTTTTTCCTGCCTGGCCTTCCCTTGAACTTTGACCTTCCAGGTCTCCTCGTCCTGAGTAACTAGAAAACCCAAAGTTGAGCCCCGGCGCTCTGCTGGGATGACTCCTAAAGCACTGAAATTTCTCGATGATTTCACAGCATCTCTGAGATCAGCACCGGCAAGTTTGCCTTGAAATACTTGCAACAGTGATTTCTGTGCTAGATACTGACTTTTTGGAATTTCCTGCTGGAGCTCTGTTTGGGTGGAGTTCCCCTTGGAAGCACCAGAGTTTTCCTGTTTGTGCAGTTTGATGTTGAGAACCTTAAATAAACTCTGCTGTTTGGTGTCCAGAACAATAACAACCCAACAGCTCTTTACTAAGCACCTACTATGAGCCAGTCACTGTGCTAGCAGCTAGGGATGCAATAGTGACCTCAGAGGCCCCGGTTCTCAAAGAGCTCTCAGTCTGGTCCAGGACACAGATTAGTAAACAGGCATCTGCCTTTCACGTGGTAAATGCCATGACGAACAAAGTACAGAGTGTTAGGGACAGGAGGTGGGGGTGAATCTAACCTCACAAGTACAGGACTTGGGGTTAGGGTGCTGAATACCCAGAAAGACTTCCCAGAGCCTGTGCAGCTAAGCTATATGTTAAATAGAAGAACTCGAGTTTTGTAGAATCTGTTCTCAATTATTTGCGAGTTCATTCGTAAGAGCACTTCCAAGCTTTTCTTTCTCCCCTTTTTTTTCTTTGTTGCAATGGTTAAAGTAACAGTGCTCCTGTTTTCATTGCAAGTTAATGCTGAAGGAAGGCAGGCAGACACTGGGTGTGTAGGCTGCTGGAAAGAAGGTTTGAGATGGGGAAAATTTGGCTGGAAGGAGGGGAAGGGACAAATGGGGTCAGGCAAGAAAAGAGGAGCTTTCAATAAGCTAGCTCTTTCTGGGGGAAACTTGATTATTTGACTTGAATTGTATTTTTGGATGTTAATTTGACTCGATTCATATTTCACAGAGGCACCAAAACACATTCCAGCGCCACTAGATGTAAATGACTTGTGGATTATTTATTCTCTTTCTAGATCCTCCTTGTCATGGTTTCCCTCCATTAGTTCAAATAATAAAGACAAACATCTTGCCAAAAGGAAAAATAGGAGGTGGGGATGGGGAATGATACAAAGGCTTCAGTGTGTCTGGCTAGCTGGAGTTTCTTGCTGTTAGTTTGGGATTTACTTTTGATCTCTTGGTCAGGCAATGGAATGCCTATTTATTTTAAGATCACTTTATTGAAGTATAACTTACATGCAATAAAATACACTCTCTCTAAGCATACATTTGCAAATGTTAATGCAATATAACTGCTTTCAAAAATGAGACACAGTCATATTCAATTTTCAAAAGTTCCTTTAAGCCTTCTTATCCTTCCTTCCTTCCTTCCTTCCTTCCTTCCTTCCTTCCTTCCTTCCTTCCTTCCTTCCTTCCTTCCTTCCTTCCTTCCTTCCCTCCCTAATTCTTTTCTTTTCTTTCTTTCTTTTTTTTTTTTTTTAATGCTGGGCCTGGGCCTTGAATTTGGCCAGGGTGCTGTTCCTGAGACATTCTCTGCTCAAGGCTGGTGTTCTACCACTTGAACCACAGCACCACTTCTGGCTTTTTGTGAGTAGTTTATTGGAGATAAGAGTCTCATAGCCTTGGGGCTGGGAAGGTAGCTCAGTAGTAGAGCACTTGCCTTGCATGCTCGAGGCCCTGGGTTCGATTCCTCAGCACCACATAAGAAAAAAGCCGGAAGTGGCGCTGTGGCTCAAATGGTAGAGCACTAGCCTTGAGCTGAAGAGCTGAGGGACAGCGCCCAGGCCTAGAGTTCAGGCCCCACGACCGGACCCCCAAGAAAAAAGAGTCTCATAGCCTTTTCCTGTCTGGGCTGGCTTCCAACTGTGATCCTCAGATTTCAGCTTCTTGAATAGCTAGGATTATAGATGAGCCATTGGAAACCAGCAAGTTGTCCCTACTTCTATCCCTGTTTTCTTTACCATGAATTAATTTTACCCTTTTCTAGAAGTTTCAATATATGGAATGATACCTTATGTCTACTTTTGAGTCTAAATTTTTTTCTCTGATTTTTTTGAGATTTATTTATTTATTTATTTTTTGGTTGATCATGGGGCCTGAACTCTGGGCCTGGGCACTGTCCCTCAGCTCTTCAGCTCAAGACTAGTGCTCTACCACTTGGGCCACAGTGCCACTTCCAGTTTTTTCTGCTTATTTAGTGCTGAGGAATCAAACCCAGGGCCTCATGCATGCAGGGGAAGCACTCTACCACTGAGCCACCTTCCAAGCTCTGAGATTCATCTTTTGAGTATCCATATATTCATTTCTTTTTCATTAGAATGCTGATATTTTTCAAGTAGCAGATGATTGTTCAATGGCTTAGCGAGATCAAAAGATGGAGGAGTCACCCTCTGGCCTAAAGAA